TTCCCCTTCATTTTTGACTTTATTTTTTTTTTTGTACATTAAAAAGTTAGCACATTTTTTGGGGCTAGGGGCTAGCCAGCTGGCTATTTCGTTTCTGCCAGCTGGTTGACTGAAGCTTTATGGCGAATAATGAAAGTGAAATGTGTATAACCGCAGAAACCCAAGTCCGAGGTTTTTTTCGGGCGGGCCTAGAATACCTAGGAAGGCGAGGCAACACTCCACACTGTATGCCACCAGCTAATTGCAACTAAAAAGTTGCTCATTAAGCTCTGGTCTGGTCTGGTCTCAACTGAAAATGAAATGAAAGCCCGGCCCTTTTCCGGGTCCCGGACTGGTGCTAAATACAATCAAATTAGTTGTTTCCGCTTTGAAATTATGCGACTTCCGGTCCGACAAAATGTTTCCACGTGTGCCCAGTAATCCCTCTTGTGTCCCCACCCCACCCCAGCTTTTTTTTTGGCAATTTTATTTTATTATTTTCAGTTTTTTGCTCTGCACTTCCTTGGGGCTTTTGGAGGAGAGGCAGGGACTTCAACGAATTGTCAATGATTTTTGGCAGGGGAATACCAGCCCGAAAGTGGAGACACTTTGATCCGGTATGTTGTCGGAGGAGTCTCAGGGGACATTTGTCGGGGAATGGGAAAGGTTAAGTGGATTAGGGGGTTTCTTTCTACAAAAATGCAGAAGAAGGTTTAAGTTTTTATAAAGAGGTATACAAAGGTAGAAGAATTTCTAAGAAAGAGGACTAAGATCAAGGGTGTTTTTATATAGATTTTCTAAGGATATTAACTGAATAAAATACTATCTTCAGTATTCAGGGTTTATATTAAAGATCTTAGCTATATTGTGAATTAATGATAAACCTAAACCAAATACCAAATTAAAAGAAGAATTATATTTTTTTCACTCTTCTGAGAGTCTAAAAAAGTGTGCTACATTAAAATCGTATTAATCCACAGATGAAAGTGTTTACTTGCAAATTGTGGGGAAAAAGGGGAAAGTGGGTGGACCTCCTTCTCTGTACACGCTCTTTCCTGACCAACGATTTGTAAACGAATTTGCGGCAAAAATGTCCAGATATTTTTTCGCAATTTTTTTAACCCGTTGGGCATATTTTGCATACATATGAGAGGGGGCATACTATATGCAGTTTTCTTTTTTTTGGGTTATCTTTCAACAGGCAAACGAGGCGGAAAAGAGGCTGAGTGGGGCCGTGGCAGGGGTGTGGATTTTTTTGTCGGCCCCAAAAAAATAGAGGGGGAAAAGGGGGATAGTCCTGTACTAAAGACGAACGTGCCTGTTGTTTAGTGTTGCATATATACTGGCCTGGCATTTGGGGATTTATTTGCATTTTACTTTTGCTCCGGTGCTGTTGCTGCAAATAGTTTGCCGCAATCTGTGTCTCTTTTCTCCACCTTTCTCCCAGCCATTTTTACCGAAAAATTTATGAACTTTTCCCCCCCACCATATAGATATTTTAATATATATATGTATAGTGTACAGTGTACACTAATATTTTGTCGCTTTCCGCTCGCTCGGGGTGTCCATGATGCATGACTATGTAAATAGACATTTTTACACTATAAGCACAGTTTGGTCATAATATTATGTGTATTTTTTTTTGTAAAAATTTGTTTTGCCTGGCATTTGCATAATTTTATTTGTTAACTTTTTAAATTGCCAGAGTCCTTCCGCTGAGAGTCCGGGCGAGTCTGTCTTATTCATTTTCCTATTATTATTTTTTCTCCTCCACTCTGGCATACTTGATGACAAAGGACAAGAAATTATAATTTCAGTTGACAATTTGACAGGATAATATTTGCAGAACTTTTTCAAGGGGACAACCTAATTATTTTCCTCAATTTGACAAAATGTTCTACATATATTTTTTTGCTTAAACCTCAACCTATTTGTTAAACAAACAAAAAACTAGTAATGCTCTAAATATTTGCTCAACTGATGATATCCTTGTGGAATGGAATTTACGGCCATCGATTGACCAAATACATATAAACATATATCAAATATATAGGACATGGAATATTCATGTGCTTGCATTTAGGTTTGATATTTGTATTTTACCCGCAAAGATCCTGCTGCCACATCCTGTCAAATGAGAGGATTGTAGTAAATGCTACCGTTGATATATTCATGAGCATTTTAGCCATTTTGCAATGCTATCTGACAGCAAAGAGTAAATATATATACTAGATATATACCTATACTAAGTTTGTCTGTATGAGTTGGACAGATGACAGGTGAGGCTGAAAATCAGGTGGTCCCGGTATAATGGTTCCTATTTGCGGTTAACCGCATGATTATGCTGTCGCCACACGATAATGAAATGAGATTTCAGACTAAACATATTTAATTTGGGTCTCGGTTGAGGTCCAGTTCATACAATTTTCAGCCAATTCGATGGTTAATCAAATCGAAAGTGCCCACCACCATCGCCACGGCCACCCAAAGGTGTCATCAATTATGGATTAATAAATGCATTTGAATTATTTTTGTTTGTGTATGTCGATGTATTTGCAATTAATTAAATGTGATATTGGTTAGATATGCGAAATCCTTTTCTCAGTGTCCTGTCGTTATCATAATTCATACACTTTGTTGGCTTACACTGAAAGAAGTATTTGTTATTTAATAAAATGTTGCATACAAACAACAGCATCAACATGAATATTTTATAAATCTACCAGTGCCAGTACCACTACCAGTACTACATAAATAAATAAATAAAAAATGAAATAAAAAGTAAAAGATGAGCCTGCAGGATTTTTATAAACTGCCAGTACCCTGATCTCCCCCCTCTCATGCATATAGAAATGAAACATAAATTACTTTTATATTTTGTCGCTATTTTTATATTGCCAACACTTGTGCGGAAATTGCGCGATGAAACGACGACGCTGCCCAGGAGCGGAATAAAATGCAAAAAGGGAGTTTTATATATTTTTTTTTCAGCGCCCACCACCACTACCACCATCCTTTTTCGCGGTTGATCCCCGCAAGAAAATTGCCCGCCCCCAACCATAGGGGACTACCCCAACCGCATAACCCCCTTTTTTTATAAACAGGACTCGGCGATTTCGCCATATTTCAGCTTAAAACAAAGCAACAAAAATATAAATAAAATTCAGAGCTAAAAAAGAGGAAACGGAGATGGTTATATTCAAAAAGTAGATGCTCTTGATATTTGTTTAAAAAATATTTGGAGCTTTGTGAGTCTCACAACTAAACTATAACATAAATCTATAATGTATTGATAAAAAAATAAAAAAAATAATTCAAAAAAGGGTGGAATCTTTCCTTTAATTTCTAAAATTTATAAACCATTTTTTCGCAGTTTCTTTCTTCTTTTTTTTGGCTCCGTCTGTGTCTGTGTTTCTGTTCCTGTCTCTGTTTCAGACATTAAATTTATGTTTTGTTGATTCCACTCTTGACAAATAAGCCAGATACTAAAATAGTCGAAAGTCGAAAGAAAAAAGCACCAAAACGGTCAAGGGGCAGGTCCTGGCAATGATTTAGATGACTAATTTTTGGCAAGGACACCTAAAACAAGCCATTAAGCTACCCCAAAGAAAAAAAAAAAATTAAACGAAATCATATAGAATTGATATCTGTAGTCCCTTTAGACTTTTCTATTTTTTCATCAACAAGAAATTTGTTAAAATTTAAAAGCAAATACAAATTAACACAAAGCTGAAAAACCATTTATCTGAAAAGTTGGTCCCGCGAACAGGAAAAGCGCATTAAAAGGCATCCTGCGAGTCCTGCGAAAAGGTCTCTAAAAATAACAAATAACAGAGTGTATCCAAATTCTAGCCAAACAATATTCCCATTTCCAGTGTCCTTTGGACACAGAAGGACAAGAAGGAAAAAAAAAGAATGGAATTTAATTGAAATGTAAAACAATTTTCGACTGTAGTCCTGGCAGTTTTTCTTTTTAGCCTTTGGCTACTTTTTTAGAGCCATATCTCTACATATCTCTATATAGCTCTATGAATAATTTTTGGGCAAGGCTAGGCTAGCATTTAAGGACACCTGTATGGCAATATTTTGCCCAGGCATATCCTGTATCGATTAAGCCTTAAAAGTTCAACTAGAGGGGCGAAAATAAAGTCAACTTGAATAATCGCCACTTTGGGAGTTATCTGCTGGCACTTTAAATACGTTGGCGAATTTTAATGAAAATGTCCTTTCAACGCAAGATAAATTATTCAAAAGTTTGCCATTGCCGCAGAGCAAAAGATTTCAACCATTGTTGTGTCCAGCGTTTTATTTTTTTTTACCTTTCCGAGTCCGGCTTTGTTTTTTATTTTGTTTATATACTCAGGACTTGATGGATTTTGAAGAGTATGATGGTGCTAAATTTTTGGAAAACTTACTAAGTCTACATATATCTTATATATGATTTTGTATACTATTTTTTAGTCTTTTAAAAATGTAAGATTTGTAGTCTGGATAAGTAAGATTATAGACTTAACTACCAGGTATCTGTAGTCGTGACTGTTTACTTGAAAATGTCCTTTTCTTTTTATTATTTTTTTGTACTATTTACTGGGCATTTCAGTTGCAGGCAACTCCGACAGTTTACTATCTTCCTCCCTTCCTGGCTCCCCTGAGCCAGGTTCCTGATTCCAGTTCTGTTATCCTGGCTTCCTGGGTGTCCTTGTTTTGTTTGCAGGCCGCTTCCAAGTGCGAAGCTCTAGGATGAGATTCATTCACTGCTTTTCTCACCTTCCTGACACTATTTCTATCTCTTTTTCCAGCTAGTTTGTCGTCTCTTTCTCGTATCCTTTTGTTTTTGGAGAGAAGAGTGTCAGTTTGACAGAAATACCCTAAACTGGGACTGTACTTTGGCGGGACTGTACTTTTGTTTGGGACTCGGTCTTTATAGAAATGTTGTGATTAGGCTAATGGGGTTTACTTTTTAAAGGATTTTTTAAATTTTTCCAATAACATAATACCCCTCTAATATAAATAAAAACAAGTTTCAGCAAACACTTTTAATGATTTCATAAAATCTTGACTGGCATGCTACCTGCTTAAGGGTCATATACGGTTAAAGTGAGTTCTACAAATCGAAAATTAAAATTTTGTCTGGTGATTAAATTGGAATAGCAGGATTGCCCTTTGACACTCGACGCGTGACAATGATCTTGAGGATTTTGATTGGAGCGGTTTTCGGTGAAAAAGTGGGCGAATGTAGATCGAATTTCACAGAGAATTTAACAATAACCTTGACGAATGGGCGGCGCTTCCAGAGGTGAATGCGTTATGGCTTCTTTATGGTTGTTCCCAGTCGGATCCAGATGTCTCCTCTAGGGTTAGGACGAGTCCGGTGATGATGGGCAGATTGGTGTCAGAAGCTGTTGGCTTCTCTTCTTCCGGTTCGGCGATTGCCGGATCAGTTTCCGGTTTGATATCCACCTCAGATTCTGCATTTTCTGATTCAGAGCTCGAGAATGAAGGTAAATCCACGTCCAGTAAGATAGTCTCCTTGGCTGGCATCAGAAGGGAATCTTTAACGCTTCTCATGGCCGCTTCACGTACCATCGCCAACGGACATGACACTGGCTTGATGGCACTCCCCATTGCGGTTGCGTTCTGGCTTTCGATTACCTCCTGACTCAAGGATTGAGGACTACGGACGGGTTCGATGTGGAAGCCAGCACCCTTCAGTCCTGCCGACTCCCATTCGCGTTCTTTTTGAAGGAATATATCATCCAGTTGACGACTAGACCGATTGGGACGACGAATCCTAATCATATCGTCGTTGGACATTGTGTGTATCTCGTCTTTGGAGGGGCACTGGTTGTTGGCCTTGAGCTCCTGGGGATAAGACCTCGGCTTCAAATTCTTTTGATAGAAGCGTGTATACTTGTCGGGAAGGCTTTCCTCGGAACTTTCCGATTTCTTGCTCTGCTGGCTGTTCTTCTTGGTCTCCTCGTTGTGGGGAATGAGAAGGGACGGCACTACCATCAGTTTGGGATCGCTGAACTGGACCGGCACCGGGACCGGCGCCGGGAACGCGGAATAGTTCTTCGAGCCGGCCGAAGATTTCAGCAGGGAGCTAAGCACAGTCCCGGATCTGTTTTTCATTAGTACCTGGCGCCTCCGTGAATACTTCTCCGGCAGACTTTCCTCGGAGCTATTCTTGTAGCCCGACTGATTTTTAGAATCACTTTCCTCAGGGACCTGTAAGCCCGAGCCCTTGAATAAACCCTCCAGGCATTTGACTTGATATCCTTCCTCGGAGTTCTTCTTATAGCTATCGTTGGTGTCGAGGTCAGAGCTCCCTTTGCAGGCCTTTAAAGATAAGTCACTGGAGCCTGTTAGCGGGTCAATTCTGGAGTTGGCCAGAAACTTGCTATCCTCGCTGGGCTTGGGATCTAGCGGAGTCAAGTCAATGGAGCCTGTTAGCGAGTCATTCCTGAGGCTGGCCAGAAACTCGCTATCCTCACTGGGCTTGGGATCTATCACAGGCAAGTCCCTGAAGAGGGCGTTGCAGCTCTTGGGGCCCCTACCTTTAATAGCGAATGTGCGATTCGACTTTGCCGGGATGGCGTCCTCGTGGCTCTTTTTCGCGGACTTCTCCACGCCGCCCTTGTTTCGGTCTTTACGCTTTTTGGAATGTCGAGTCTTCGCAATGGTCCCAGTAATCACGATGCGTTCGTCGCCGCCCTCATTGGTCCACTTCGCGGTGCACTGCGCCTCGTGCTTGCCGGTCCTCTGGGCCGAATCCCTGGACCTGTCCTTGTCCGCGGGTAGGGGCTTCCGGCCCAGGGACAGCTTGCCGTTTGCTCCCCGGAACAGTTGGTACTTACTGCGCGGCATATTGGTGCACGGACCACTATAAGTATCGAACAGCTGACTGGAAGTGCGCTCCTCCATGGCAGTCTTTTTGAGATTTTCGTGAACAATGAGCTCCAGCTGGATGCCGGGCGACTGGGCGCCCATATCCATGAGCAGCTGGCTATCTAAGCAAGGACGACATCCGAGGTAGTGCCTGCCGTTCAGCATCGTCATGGCCTCGGATTCGCGGAGCAGCAGGTAGTCGGTTTCGCTGGGTAGAAATTCACTCGGATTCTGAGAGTGAGTATAGTTTCGAACCTTGCGGATCACGCTACGTGACTGCATATAGTAACGATCGAAGGCCGTCAGCGTATAGTGGATGCGATGCGTGGTAATCGGTGACACAACCCATATGACATACAGACCCGATGTGGTGGGATTTAAAGCAGCCAGATCATTCTCCAGCTCCTTGTCCGCCAGCAGGGCGTAGAACGTGGTCTTGCATATCATCAGGACCATGGGCAAGTGATACTCTAAAGGGCGGCGATCATTCAGTAGTCCGGCATTGGGGAAACTTATCAGGCGTCTGCCTGGCTCGCTTAACCGTATCCCATCGGCTCCGGCATAGAGTAGGATAGCCAGGCATTGGGGCACTCCGGGTGTTAAGCTGCGTGGATCGACAGACAGTCGCAATGGTCGATTATCGTATGCGGTGGCCACTGTGCAGCGCGGATCCCGCGAGTGTTTGTGCAGCAAATGGACCAGCAGGCTAGACGGGAAGACCATCTGATCGCATGTGCCCAGGGGACACTTACCCGGGGCCCGGGACAGATGAGCCAAACGATGAGCTTGCTCCATCTCCGCCTCGGGATCCCTGACTTTCTTCAAAGACTTGGTCTTATGTCGCTTGACCGACGGCTTCGGCGGCGGCTTGGGCGTAGTCTGCTCTGGCTCCGGACGAGGTTCCTCTACTCCTTCCATTGTGTAAAATGTATATATCCAAAAAATAAAATGAGAAATAAAACTAGGCCTGACAGCAATTTGGTTACTGGGTTGAACGTCTGTCTGATTCTAGCTATTGCCTATTACTTGGCTCACTTCTAGCTTTCTCTAAGGTTTCTATTCGAGAAATTTTTTATATTTTGGATTATTGAGTAAAATTTGGAAAACTATGTTACGAAATTCTGGCTGTGTTCTGTATGGCAGCTCCTGGCCTTTAACCATTCGACGTCTGACTGGGCTGGTAGAGCCAACTTTGTGATGGGGTTTTTTTTTCTGGGTGGAGCATCACGAACACTAACAAATTGGCAAGTGAAACTTTAGCTTTTCTCTCACAGCAGACCCCAGACCATTGTCGGCATGTCCGCTTATCTGCTGGTCAGGCGTCTACTTTCCAGGCCGTCATATATCCGAGTCCGAGTATTTTTGATTAAGCAGTCCCCAGATACGAATTAAATCAATAACTTTTCGGCTTGCCAAACAAATTGAATTCAAAAGTTTCCAGAGCCATAAAACAAAGGTCCGAACTCTGAAGGCAATCGACTAATGGTTACCTCAGGAGCTCAGGGGCTTGGTGGTTATTTGAAAAAAAGTATATATACATATATGGATATATGTATGTTTTATATAATTTTTCCAGTGGCTCATAAAAATAAAGGGTTTCCTTAACCATCACCCCTATTCCCCGACAATAAACGTAATGAAACGTAATTTGAATGGCTCTTAAGTGGCTTTCGGGTCAGGTGAGTCCATCTGGTCAGGTGGATGTGAAGTGCGAGCTGTGGAAGTAAGCCTGCCCTGGCAAATCGTGTGAAAATTGAGATGCCCAATGCCCACTACCCACTACCTACTGACCAAAATTAACTGCCTCACCACACACACAGGGAGCCTTAAACTGAAACTGAAACCAGACGGCCAATCAGAGGCGAAAGGACTCAACCTCAGCCGAAAACCGTTTTAAAAACCAGGAAAAGAAAGCCCGACGATGGCAAAGTCCTGTCCGATTTATGGCCCGGATAATGCAGGCGACTTACGAGCCTTAAAATTATGCAGCCACTGCATTAAAAAGCGCTGAAAGTGTTGCACGACAAATGGCCCGGGAGCTGGCCAAAATGGCCAAATGGCCCAAAACCCCGAGGCATTAAACGTCGAACAGATGGCATCAATTTGTAGCGGATAAAAATCGAGCACAAGGGCCAGAAAAAGGATAAGGAAGAGGCCCATCTCCTGCCAAAGGAATGAAAAGGAAACCCACAAGAAGAAAATAACCTCTTTTCTCAACGAAAAAAACAAAAAATAGAAATTAAAAATGAAACCTTGAGCTTGATCTATTTTTGTTGCCAAAAAAATACCCCCTCAAGCAGCTGTTTAAATATTTTAATTACTCGTACTACCTCCAAAATGATTAAAATATCAGTCAGTTAAATTGAGGGACCATGGGAGCCCGGACCTCCAGTGACTTACTCCGCAAATTCACTTCCAACAATTACTTAGTGGGTATCCATTCCACTCGAGTCCACTGGCCATGAATAAGCCGAGCACTCAAACACTCACTTGACACTCACACTCGCACTCGTACCAGGGACTCTTAAATAGAAATGGGCAAACAACAAATGGCCGAAATGCGAGTCGACGTCGGACACCCCATCCTCCCTTGAACGGACACCGGACAACAGAGACGGACACCGACACGGACACGGTCCCGGATCGACCCATTCCGGCCATGTTGTAATGTAATGTAATGCGCGTGCTGCCAGCAGAAATAAAGAAAATGAAGCGTCACTCGTAACGGGGTCGCAGGGGGTCAAAGTTGAGCCGGGATGTTGGCAACAAAAGCCAAAAGTGGCATCGCGAAATATACAAAAAAAAAAAAAAAACAAACCCAAACACACACAAGCCGGCTCTTGAAGCCAGCGGAACATTCGTAGTCCAAAGAATTGGGAATCGAGAGTCCAGAATCGAGAAACAACGGGTTTTGGATTGTTGGCGAGGTCAGTGAGTTCTTCGCAGAGTACTACCCGTATATACACCACATCCCTATATATATGTATGAGTGCAGTTTGGGTCCTGAAAAGTGCACTTGTATGTGCACACTCGTCGGGTGTGTGTGTTTCAATATTTTATGGTGTCGCTTTCAGGCATGGGAGCCAAGCAAACAGATATCCACAGAAAGGAAAAGAGCATAAGTAGAGCCCTGCGAAAAAATCAAGTGTCCGCTCAAGAGAGGGAGCTATATCCTATAGCTTTTATAAAGGTTAAAAAAGGCAGGCTATAAGACCATACTTGATTATATAATTTTACTAAGATCCTCTTTACTATAAATTAAAATATATAAGAGATATGTGTATATACTTAGAAAGAAACTTGCATGAGAAGCTCTGTGAAAATAATCTGGTGTCCGCTTAAGAGAGGGAGCTATGGATAAGCATGTTATAGATACAAAATAGCTCGATATAAAATAAAATCAGGGAAGATTCCTTTCTTTATAAGAGTATTTCAGAGTTAGAATAACAATTATTATTTGATAGTAGGCCAGTAGGCCTTATAACAAGCTTAAAACGAAAGCAGCTCGCAGTCTTTTTGGCCAAGTTTGGCTCTCACCTTCAGTTTATCACTTCTGATATATTCAAAAAAGTTTTTCATTATCTTTTAGTGATTATTTTTTGAAAAACAAAATTTGGTGTTGAAAATTGCGGAAACATAAGACCAGGGAGTTGAACCGTGTGCCCAGTAAAGTTCTGTGTTTGAACCAGGTGGGTGCAGTGTCGAAAAGAGTGTAAGTACATAAAAATACATATATATATTATACATATATGTATATATATTGTCTGGTACATTGGTAACTGAAAGCAGGCAACGGCCTTCGGTCAATTGAAACGGTTCAAAGAGCGTTTGGCCTGCGGTCTTTAGCCTTCTTTGCTCTTCTCGGCTTATATATTATATTTCTGTTTTTGCTTTTTTTTTTTCTTTTTCATCGACGCGGCCATATAAATTTCACTCTGGCAAATGGTTTTTATTGGCAGCCAGAAAACTGACCTCGGGTCCCTTTCCTTTTGGATTGGGGGGGTCTCCCGTTCAGAGCTCAGGGCACAGGCTCAAAAAGGTTAAATTTGGAAAATTGGTACGTGATTGGATTCAAAGCGCAAAATAAGTGCGTCAGTTGGTTTTTGGCACCCCTGGCCTTTTTTCCACTTAGGGGAATGAAAAAAGTAGAAATATAGAAAACAAGAAGTCCCCAATACTTCTTCTTTATTTTTTTGGCACACCACTTTGCCACGATTTGTAATAAGAATGTGTTTTTTATTTTGTGGTTGAGGTTTACATTTTTTTTCCCCGTTCTATTTGAAAAATTGGAACTTTTGCCAAGCGAGTGAGAGAGGATGATCACGATGATATTAGTGTGATGATGACGATGGCAGGGATCCAATTTATATATATATATATATGTGTGTATTTACATATGGAAGCCATATCTGACTGCTTGCATACAGACATTCGTGTATAGCCTCCATAAGTTTAAGTATTTGTGGTCTTGTGTTTGATTGCCGACCATAAAACGGTCATTTGTTTGTTGGCCGGGCACGGAGAGTTGAAACCAAACCCAACCCAACCAAACCGAACGAAACGAAACCAAATCGAATTGAACACCAAACAGAACTGCCAGCTAATAACTGAGCATTGGTTTTTGGGCATTCACTGACAGCCATTTGTTTTATCCACCCACCCGGCGTATGCGTAATATTTGGGTATCTCACAGCCGTTTTGGGGTTTAGAGGATGGGAGAGGAGAGAGATGCATAAATTTACTGAATTTGGTCATTATATTAGTATCTTGGCTTAAAAATATAGCTTAAAACTTTAAAAATTTGTAAGTGTCCGCTCAAGAGAGGGAGCTATTAATTAGAAATGTTTTTAATGCAAAGAAGGGCAGTAATTTATTTTTTTTGTTAGCTGGACTTTTTTATTATTTCGAAATATAGCTTTATATTTAAGTATTCAAAACTAGGCTAAACTCAGAAGCTGAAAATAAAATCAAGTGTCCGCTTAAGAGAGGGAGGTTAACTATTACGCGTATTATTTATAAAAACTGACGGCAAAAGGGCATTATTTGATTTTATTAATACCTATTTTTGAAATCCAAGTCCCTTTTTGAAAAGAAAACTTTATTTGCTCTGTAGTTAAAGAATTATAACATTACACTTAAGAGTTATAAACTAGTTCTCGCCCAAAAGAACATAAATATGATAATGGTATTTCCACAATGAGTTTAAAATTAAAACCCCTTTGAAAAACCATCAAAACCATTAGAGAAAAATGAAACTGATAACAGCTTTGACTGTCAACCGTTTTGTTAAACAAACAAAACAAAAAGCCTTTTTGTGCATTACGAGTTAAAATAGATCCTCCAGTCCAGTCCTCTGACAATACATATATCGTGTGACAAACAATTTTATTGTTTTTAATTAAAAAGTCATCACAATATTGTTGTTGGTTGGTCATATTTCCATAACTGCAAACTGCATATAAACTTATTTATCGCCAGGACACACGACAATTTACAGATTTATCTGTCAGGAATTCGTTGCTTTTATTTTGTAACTGTTATTGTCATAATTAATTGGCATTTATTATGCGAATCCCGGCCAAAAAAATGACTACATGATAAATGAGTTATGGGGATAGTATGGCACAACCGTCAGATCGACGTCAGTACATCCACGTAACACGTTATCCATTCAAATGGAGGTTGATTGTGTTTAATCACTTAATTGAAGCTAATTAGAACCGCTAATTCAATGAGCATGGCTGGCAACACTGGTTACGCTTCGAGCACCTTTTAATTAAGAGTTTAGATTCGGTTTACAAATTTGATTTAGACGGATGGTATAGGATAGGCTGGATGGATGGTTGCCTGGCTTATCTCATATATCCCCATCCAGTTCAAATGAATCATATTTTCAAGAGTCTGGCAGGCAGACTGGCTGGGTGGCAGGAAGGCACTTTCCCGGGCAACATCATTAAATCACCGCAAAACTTCAGAAATGCATTTCATTTGAAAATCATGACCCACTCTCAACATTACAAATAACAAGTTGCTAGCTGTCTGTTGGAGAATCCCTCCGAGAATGACTGAAGAGTGGCCGGGGTCAGGGGTCAGGTGGGATACTTAAAAAAAAAAATGAAAAGAAAAAAAATACTCAAGTCAAGAATCAACGGACTGACAGTCAGAATGATGGGGGAAACTCAACCAATGGATACTCAGTAAGTGGATTTAGTTTATATAATTCCTATATAAAAGGTGTTGCATACCTTGCGCCTTTCAAAAAACGTTGAGTATAATCTATAGCCTATTTATAAGCTTAAGAATTAATGTTGAAACTGTTGTGGAAAATTGTATCACCTCTAATAGTGTATACCTCTATCAAAAAGGTAAGCTCCCTTTTGAAATACAGTATGGGTGTTGCCAAATGGGCGGCTTGAATGATGTGAAGGAGATGCCTGGGCCTGAGAGGCTGTGTGCGATTGCAATCGGCGGAGCTTCAACAACGCTTAATGTTGCCTACAATCCACAATGTCAGCCATTTATCATTCGCCAGGGCTCAGCTCAGTTTACTGGCTTGAATGACTGACAAACTGACAGATGGAGAGGTTGAGAAGCGCAAACCAAAATTGGCGTTATGAACTCTCTCGTCTGAATAAATGAGTGAGTGGCCTATGCTACGGAAAGTTACCAGCCCCCTCCCCACTCAAAAAAAAAAAAGTGAAGTGGGTCAGTGGTATTATCCTCAAAGCCTATGTATATCCAAACTTACCTTCATTAAACTTGTTGAAAATCTTTGTTTTGGAAAGTATCTGAAAGTAAGAAAAAAAAGGAATACAATTTAAGAATCTTTAAGATATTTTTTAAGACAATTAAGACCCAAATTCCTATTTTTCCTTCGTTTTATTTTGCTTTCTTTTAAATTGCTATTGTATAGCCGGATCCTTGCTTTTAATTTGCTTTCCCCATGCCTAAGTTGTGTTAATTCTTTTTAAGCCCTTAATGAATTTCGCGCTTTTTGTTTTAATTGCACACACACTTCATTGTCGGGGCCGAGAGAAAGCCGGCCCTTTTGCGGCGAATTAAATTTTTGTTTTCTAGCCGATGATGATGCCCATGGCTTTGCTTTCGCTTTGTCCGCCACTGGCTGCCATTCACTGATTAATTTAAGCGCCCTAGTAATGCATAAATTAATGTTAAATAACGGCCATCCAGCTGGCACAAAGCAGCTGACACTGTTCAGAACATACACCGTGGGGCGTTGGGGGACGAGAACGAAACTGCAACGGAATCAGATCGATTGAATATTCCTGTGAATTATCCAATGGCCAGTTCGGTTTTCCCTAACACATGTTTACACTGGCCGGAAAATTTGAGAAAATGTAAATATTTTAACTCTCAGTATGAACAAATTGGCTTGTTAGGAATCGTTAGGATCGTTAAGAAAACGATAGAGGTTTATCATCAAAACATTTTAGTTACTATCTTGTATGAGTAAAAATAAAATTCATGAATAAGTTTACTTTAAGTGCGACCTAATGTCACGTTTTTTTTAATAAAATTGGGTCGCACTTTTAAAAGAGAAATAATAATAAAGGCTTGAAAAAGAAAGAAAACTTTTAACAAATAAAATATATTCATCTTAAGTGTGGCTATACTTGTAAAAAGAATATTATAAACATAATGGGGCAAACTGGTTAGGTACAACTACCTAACCATTAGCTTTAGTAGCTTTCACTGAAGAACCCTTTATCAAAATTTAATAATCACATTGTTTGCCATTTTCTTTCTTTGTAACCTTAATTATAATTTACTGGACGATGTGCAAGCATATTTTTGCCGCTTCATATGAGGCAAGGGTCGATTCCATGAATGTATTCAGCCATCTATCCATCCATCCATTTAGTGATTTCCTCATTTAATCATTTACCCATTTGCTCATTTGCTCATTAGTCATTATTCAACGAGTACTTGGAAGATTCATTCTCATTCTCATTCATTCAACGGATAATTCCACATTGTTTGGTGGAAAGATTTTTCTTTACATTTTCTAGCAAAGTCTAATGCCAAATTGTAATTGAATTGGCAAGGAAATCGCATGAAATTAATGTCATTAAAGTGCATTCTACTTGAGATCTGCCAACTGGCCAAAGGTTTTCACAAATTTCCAATTCTGTCTAAGGATATATATGGTACATATGTGAGTAGTATGTGCGGTCAGTTAGAAGTTAAGTCAAGCACATTTTCTGGCTGGAAATTTCATCTTTGTTGCGGCAAAGTTTCCGCTTTGAGCCCGGTTTAGATGCCTTTTGTGGCTCTTAGTCTGCTAATTAACTGCAAATTGCTTTTCCGGCTAAAAGCAAAGGCATTTTGTTGCCACCTTTTTGCCTTTCATTGGAAATTGAACGATAAACCCTCCTTTCTGGCCAACCATTCGCTCCAACCAACTCTAAATGAAAACTGAAGTGTTCAATTTCATTTGACCATCCAGTACAGTTTTGTTTTTTATCCTTGTTCTGGTCTGGTCCTGGTCCCTGTAGCCTTTCCTCTTAAATGGGTTACCATGACAATTTCAAATTAAAATCAAATTTTGTGGCATCCAAAAACATTTTTATATCCGGTTCTCTGCGGTCATCCGGTTGGAGTAAAAAAAATCCATGATACTGCCGATTTGTTTTCTGGCTTTTGGCACAATCAATTAAATCTAATGATATGTGATTGGTCCTGCCCAGACGTTCTTTTTGTATATTTGGTTTTAATTGTTGCTCGTTTGTCTCTAAATTGTTTGTATTTTTTTGGAATTTAATTTCTAATTAACAAAGTTAGGTCTTAGCTTGTAATTAATTGAAAATAATTGTCTAGCTTTCTATTTGATGTTCTTCTTGTAGGGATTTCCTTTCCAGAAATTCAAGGCTCTTGTTTTGTTAATGATTTGGACACGAGGACTCTTCGCTTTTTTTGGTGGGCTTTTGGCATTTAATGCCATTTAATTAATAACACAACCGCCTATGGTATTCATTTATTTTGTGATTCTTGTTTCAATTACTAATTGCATCTGTTGTTGTTGTGGAGGAAACTTAAAGTCTTAAACGATTATGAACTTATGAACGGAAAATGAATTGCTCGGCGAATCTAAAGAATTCTAACGACAATGAGAAATGCGGAATGTATGACGGAATAACGAGAAATTCAAAACTCGAAAGCTGAGAAATTTGCATACAAAAGTATCTCAGATGCAGGAAAATTCTTTGACTTGCCAGGCTTTTTGAAAGGAGAAAAAAAAATAATGCTGAATGCATGCCAAGCAGAAAAAAGGTCCTTTATAAGGATATATATATGTGTGTGTTTTTTTTTTATTTCTAAAAAGGAGGCCCCACACACACACACACACTCACACAACAATTGAAGGCGAGTCTGGAATACTATTAAATACACAAGGGAAGCTACTTTTAACCCAAATCTGCGGGCATAAAAGTCAGCCAGCCTTAAGGGGCAGTGGCATGGAGTGGCGGTGAAGGGTTAAGGTTTGGGGGAATGGGTTAACGCCCAAAGGAATCGGCAGGAATCAGTAGGAACAGGCCACATATGAGAGCACAAATAATGCAGCCAGTGCGGCCACGTGGATCCTTGCCAACGACGGGGGCTATCGTGGGTTAAGTTTTAAGGCGGGAGCAGTATGGGGTTAAGGAGGAGTCCTGGCGGCAATAGCACTTGTCCTGACAGTGGCAGCCTGGCAGGCGTCATCTAAGTTTAGGTCTCATATTGATATTAATGTCGGTAACTGTAGCGCGGATGAGAAATATTTGAGGATTTAAGTTTAATTTCTTGTATTGTGATATAAAGATAAGTTTTTAGCCTTTTTTTTTAGTTTTTAGAATATAAATATAAACTTTTTATACAAATAAATTTTAATTAAGTTGTTTAGATTTTTCTTATAGTTTTTTTTTTTTTACCACTGTGCTGTTTGGCAAATGCACTTTGAGGCACTTTGGCAGCTGCCTGGCGGCATTTGCTCCGATCTCGTTTTCGCATTCAGTTGCAGATTTCAGATTGCAGATTGCTTCGTGTGGCAGTGTCGTGATTAAGCCGCCATTTTATACAATATTTGTATGCGTATGCTAGTATGAGTTAGTGTGTGTTATATATATAGTTGGTGTAGGCGGTCTGAGTGCCCGAGCATGTGTGTGTTGGATTCTGTCGCCAAATAATGACATTCGCTATTTGCCACAGTGGCAAAAGTCCGCCAGTTGCTCGTATAATACAGATATTACAATATGCGGATTATTAGGCATTATGCAGTACCCCCTCAGTCGGCGCCTCTGTCTTGCACTCGTTTTACGCTCCGTCTGCCCGTTATTGTGTGCTAACAATTTCTATTCATAAAAGCGAGTACGAGTACGAGTGCGAGTACCAGTGCGAGTCTGTGTGTGCATGTGGCATGCAAATTTATTGTGTACTTTTGCCGCCAAGTTGCGGCATGTTGTACCAAAAACCACACCCCTCTGAATCACCGCCCCTCTGAATACCCAAAGTGAGCTTTTGATTTCGGATTTGCATTTGCAAAGGCACTGGACTGGGATTTGGGTGCCAAGGTCTGCGAGTGTGTCATTAGCATCGCATTCTGCTGCAGTTGTTCGGCAACTTAAGTGGAGGTGTACGAATCTGAATAAGTCACCGAAAAAACACACAATAAATACATATAGCTTTAATTCTGGAGGTGTCTGGGCAGTACTACTCGAAAATAAAGCAGAAAACGCTGAGGATTCTTCATTTCTATAGGTGACCCCTAACCATGACTATATCCTTGGCGATTTTGATCGGATTCTCAAGCGGAATACCTCTAATGATTTGTAATTCGATTCTCCATCATTCTGCATGAAAGCCTGACAACAAAATATTTTTTCAAAATTTTTCACATTTTTGTGACCCAACCCCTTGTAAAATGGGGCATTTCCATATTGGGGATCCTACGATGCCTATATCTTTGCGGATTTTGATCGGATTCTCAAGCGGAATACCTCAAATGATTTGTAATTCGATTCTACATAATTCTGCATCAAAACCTGACAACAAAATATGTTTTCGAAATTTTTCACATTTTTGTGACCCAACCCCTTGTAAAATGGGGCATGTCCATATTGGGGATTTTACGATGGCTATATCTTTGCCGATTTTGATCGGATTCTCAAGCGGAATACCTCAAATGATTTGTAATTCGATTCTACATAATTCTGCATCAAAACCTGACAACAAAATATGTTTTCGAAATTTTTCACATTTTTGTGACCCAACCCCTTGTAAAATGGGGCATGTCCATATTGGGGATCTTACGATGGCTATATCTTTGCCGATTTTGATCGGATTTTCAAGCGGAATACCTCAAATGATTTGTAATTCGATTCTGCATAATTCTGCATCAAAACCTGACAAGAAAAAAATTTTTCGAAATTTTTCACATTTTTGTGACCTAACCCCTTGTAAAATGGGGCATTTCCATATTGGGGATCTTACGATGCCTATATCTTTGCCGATTTTGATTGGATTCTCAAGCGGAATACCTCAAATGATTTGTAATTCGATTCTACATAATTCTGCATCAAAACCTGACAACAAAATATTTTTTTTAAATTTTTCACATTTTTGTGACCCAACCCCTTGTTAAATGGGGCATTTCCATATTGGGGATCTTACGATGCCTATATCTTTGCCGATTTTGATCGGATTCTCAAGTGGAATGCCTCAAATGATTTGTAATTCGATTCTACATAATTCTGCATCAAAACCTGACAACAAAATATTTTTTTAAAATTTT